AAAGCAAGAACAAAGGCAAGATGGAAGATTTGAACAACGTCAGGAAGGAAAACACAGTTGAACGAGTAGAGGCCACTGATGACCAGGGTATTCGGGTTCCTAATGAGAATGTGTCACAACTTGAACAGAAACTGTTGAAATTCCAGGAAGAACTCGATCAGGTCCGGAATCTGGCCAACCTGTCATTTTCCCTCAGCGCCCCAGATATCAACTACCTCAACACTCAAAACCCTACACCTCCTCAAAATATCCCAAAACAACAGAATCATCCCGCTGCTCCACCAAAGAACCAATGTAACACCTGCCATACCCCAAAGAACACTCCACTACTTATCCCAGAACCTCAGAACTCCGCAAACGACCATTTCCACACCCATACACCAGGCCACCACAACAATCCTATCTACGTGGAGACCATGCCACACTCCACCCAACATATATCATGCACGCCTGAGTCTGATGAAAAGGATCTGCTTATTAGGAACTTGGCCGAGGAACTTAAAAAACTCACCAGCCGAATTCAGGGCGTTGAGGGAAGCAAAGGAATCGAGGAGCTGAACTATGAGGATCTCTGCATACAGCCTGATGTCGAACTGCCTGAGGGGTACAAAACTCCTAAGTTCGAAATATTTGATGGTACGGGTGATCCAAGGGTCCATCTGAGGACATATTGCGACAAGCTGGTTGGAGTAGGGAAGGATGAAAGGATCCGCATGAAGCTGTTCATGAGGAGTTTGAAGGGAGACGCATTATCTTGGTACATCAGCCAAGATCCCAAGAAGTGGTCAAGCTGGGTAGGCATGGCATCTGACTTTATCGACAGATTCAAGTTTAATACAGAGAACGCACCAGACGTGTTCTATATCCAGAATTTAAAGAAGAAGCCTATGGAGACATTTCGCGAGTATGCTACTCGCTGGAGGTTCGAAGCTGCTAAGGTCAGACCCGCCTTAGAAGAAGAGCAAATGAACAAGTTCTTTGTCTGGGCTCAAGACTCGGAGTACTATGAACGACTGATGATGATTGAGAACCACAATTTCTGCAACATTATCAAATTGGGTAAAAGAATTGAAGAATGTATTAAAAGCGGTATGGTTACAAACTTCGAGCCCTTGCAATCTATAAATAAGGCTTTACAATTCGGTGGTGTGTCCAAGAAAAAAGACGTAGGGGCCGTGATGGTTGAACAAAAGACCAAGTCTCCCCTCAAATACCAAGCCTACCCAACACCTCCACTCACATACCAGCCAACCCCAAATTACCAAGCACCCTCATACCAAGCTCCACCACCAACTTATCAATCATCTCCACCTCCTACATACCAACCTACCTCACCCAGATACTCACAACCCGCTCATGTATACCAAACTTACAATGCTCAACCATCCCATTATCAATCACCCCCTGCACGCCAAAACTTCCCTAGACCCCAACCTAATTTTGATCGCAGACCTCCAAAACAATATACAGCCATCGCTGAACCCATCGATCAGCTGTATGAGAGGCTCAAAGCTGCTGGTTATGTCACCCCCGTCCCTGCTACAACCTTTGAGAATTCTTCTCAGTGGGTTAATCCAAACAAGTCCTGTGCATACCACTCCGGCATGAAAGGGCACACCATCGATGAATGCCGCTCCTTGAAAGACAAAATACAGTCTTTGATTGACAACAAAATCATTGTGGCAAAAGAACCCGCTCCAAACGTCCGCAACAACCCTCTGCCAGACCATAAGGGTGGACCCACATGATTGAAGTAGAAGATGACTAGGACCCCGAGGGATTCATCGGGTTGATCGCAGAAGGTGATGACCCAAAGAAACCAGCAATTACCCTCAATCCAATCAAAGTCCAGATCCAACCGTCTGAAGACGCTGAGGTGAATATGTCTATACCTCTTGAGTTTGAGGCAGCGCCACCCGCAAAGACACCAGCACCAACTGAGGTTGAATTCGCGTCTCCGGCAAATGCACCTGCACCATTTGAGGTTGCAGTCTTGCCACCCAAGGCACATGTTCCATTCGAAGTGAGGATAGCCACGCCGATCCCAGTGGAAATGTCAACCATGCCATCATTCTATACAAATGTTGTATCCTAGGTCTATACAGCCAAGGCGAGAAGGAAGGGCAAGGTCAACATTGAAGAAACTGTCGCAGCACAGGGTATGACAAGAACTGGTAGAGTCTATACCCCTGAACATCTGGCTGAATCAAGTAAGGAGGCCTCCAACCGGCCGCCCCTCATTGAGACAGGTCCGGACGACCTTTGGAGGAAAATACAGGCCAAGGAATATTCGGTCATCGACCAGTTAAACAAGACGCCAGCACAAATATCCATTCTCTCTTTGCTGCAAAATTCTGAGACGCACAAGAATTCTTTGTTAAAGGTGCTATATAAAGCATACGTACCAAGTAACATCACTAGTGGGGAAGTGGCTAATATGGTAGGACAAGTTCTGGAAAGCCATAAGATCACCTTTTATGAGGACGAGCTGCCACCTGAAGGGCTGGGGCACAACAAAGCACTGCACATCACCGTGCAATGCAAAGATTATTTCATCACCAGGATCCTGATTGATGGAGGTTCCAGTCTTAACATTTGTTCGCTGGTAACACTCAAGAAGTTGGGCAAAGGGCTGCATGAGATAAAGGATGGAGCAATTAATGTGAAAGCCTTCGATGGTTCTTAGAGGTCCACCATTGGTGAGATTAGTCTATGCCTGCAGATGGGACTAACCTGGTTCGAGGGCGATTTCCAAGTAATAATGTACCGGCGTCTTACAACTTGCTGGTGGGACGAATATGGATTCATGCTGCTGGGGCCGTAGCATCAACGCTGCATCAGGCAGTAAAGTTCGAATGGAATCACCAGGAAGTGATCATTCACGGTGACGGTAGCAACCTTATATACAGTCGCCAGACCATTCCGGCGATCGAGGGAAGAAGGAAGCTGGGTGGAGAAACTTACCACCATATTGAGCGGGTCAGTGCTATCGAAAAAGACAAATGGTAGGATAGCAAAATCGAGAGTATATTGAGTTGGAGTGGGTACGAACCTGGCAAAGGGCTCGGCAAGAACCTCCAAGGAATCTCTAAACCCATAAAACTCAAGAAACATGGCACTACCTTCAGTTTGGGATATGAATACACCTGGGAAGAGTTCAATAGCTGGTCGCCACCATGGCGCGGTCCTTACTACCCACTAGAGCAGCCAGTACCGCATCTGGAGTAGACCTTCCAACAGACCGACATTATTTATGGGTCAGATGAAGAAGAAGCACTTGCAGCATTGAAGAACATGCTTCTAGAGGACAGTAATATGGACTGCTGTGTTATTCTCGAGGAGGAGGGGAGGAAGGCCCTTCCATACAGGCTGTGAGCAGAGGGGCACATCTCAAGAATTGGACCATCAGGACAACCAAAGCCCAACGAGCCTCGGGGTAGCAAGGCTAAAACAAGCATTATTCACTGTTTTATTTACTAAATGATTTTCTTTTCGCATTTCCTGCAATAAGATCTTCGATGTTCAAAACGGTTATTCAATTTATCAAAAGCATTTTTGAATTTTCTTATGAATTAATATTTATTGCTATCGTCTTCTCTCCTTGCTTTACCAATACAGCATTACTATTACTTGTCTTGATGAACCAATGATTATGGCATACAATGAGACAACGCAACAAACGGACATAGATTCAGAGGAAGATGACATACCTGACGAGATTGTCAAAGAAGTTGAGAACTTTGAGAACAGACCTAAGTCCAACCTGGACGAGACCGAAATTGTCAACCTGGGAGATGCAGAAAACGTCAAGGAAACGCGAATCAACATTCACCTATCGCCATCGGAGAAGAAAGAATACACAGAATTTCTAAAGGAGTATGAGGACATATTTTCCTGGTCGTATGATGACATGACTGGTCTGAGTACGTCTATTGTGGCTCACAAACTGCCAACCAATCCGATGTGTCCACCGATAAAGCAAAAGCTCAGAAAGTTCAAGCCTGATATGAGTTTGAAAATCAAGGAAGAAGTCACCAAGCAGATCAACGCTAAGGTTCTCAGGGTAGTAGAATACCCGGCATGGTTAGCCAACATTGTGCCAGTGCCAAAGAAGGATGGGAAGGTCAGAGTCTGTGTCGACTACCAGGATATCAACCGGGCCAGTCCGAAAGACGACTTCCCTTAGCCAAATACACACATCCTGATCGACAATTGCGCCAAGCATGAGCTACAGTCATTCATAGATTGCTTCGCTGGTTATCATCAAATCTGGATGGATGAGGAAGATGCTGAGAAAACGGCTTTCATTATGCCGTGGGGAGTTTACTGTTACAAGATGATGTCATTCGGCCTGAAGAATGCAGGGGCCACCTACATGAGGGCCATGACTACCATCTTCCATGATATGATACACAAGGAGATAGAGGTTGTAAGCACGTGATTTTTGCCCTATACGAAATACTCCTATAAAATCCCAAGAAAATATATTTTTTGTTAATTATCGGCCATTTTAGATATTTTTGTAGAGTTTTATTTAATTTTTTGCATTTTGTGCATGTTTAAGTTTTATTTAAATCATGAAAAATACCAAAAAATATCATGCACTGCATTTAGGCTTTATCTTTACATTTTTAGGATTAATTAGTAATTATTTATTTTATAAAAATCGAAAATCACAAGAAATGCTTCATTTTTACACTTTTTCCTTTTATTGATTTTTTTTCTTTTAGTTTAGGATTAAGTAGTTTTTATAATTAGCTAATTAGTTTAATTCCACCCTTTTGGATAATTTCGAATTTTTAATTTGTAGGATTTTAATTAAAAGAAAAAGGAAAAATTAGAAAATAAAAGAAAGAATTGGAGAAGAAAGGTTTGTCTTGTGAAATTTGGGCCAAAATTAATGCTGAGCCCAAGGCCTATACCCAAATCTGCCCAAACTCAATAATCCACTCAAAGCCCAATCTCCTACCCAAATACCCATTACCCTTTGCCCTAATCCCTCACATAAAAGGGGAGCTAAGGCACAAAAATAGATCAGATTTTTGAAAGAATTAGATCCCTTGCCTAACAGATAACAGAGAATGGTGCATCTTTTGGAGTCTTCATCTCGAATTTTTCATGAAGACATCACGAAACAAATGACCCCTCCCCATTCTGAACGTAGCTCTTCTTCTAGACAGAAGAGGCTCCCCCTCTCCTTTGGTTCCCATATAAAAAAAACACACTCACACACGCATAGATACAGCAAGGAGGTGGGGAAAGAAGCTAGGATTTACAAAGAAAATTCTCCGTCTATTTTTATTTTCCATTTTCTCAGATTTTTAGACATAGTTTAATTTCCAAAAAAAAAGAGAAAAATCAAAAAGTAGATCTCTGTTTCTCCATCTTAATTTCGTATGCTTGTTCCAAAAAATGGAATTTGATGGAAATTTGGTGTGGAATTTGTGTTTGGTTTGAGTTTGCGGTGCCGTTGGAGGTTCTGTTTATGTCGATCAATTTCCGGCTGCGATTCCGGCAGAAGTCCGCGATTCCTGTTGCTCCGTTGCTGTTCCACGATTGCTGAAAGAAGCCGCCAAAGCTTAGTTGTAATCAAGTTCATATGTTGAAAGATATTTGCTCATGAGGGCATGGATGACAAAACTTGGTTAAAGACCGCTATTTTCCTATACTTAATTGCCATTTCGATTAGTAGAGGTAATCATGATTTTCATATTATTGTAATTATGAATGACTATTTTGACTAGATTTTTTTTTTAGTTTCATAGGTGCTAAGTGTAGCATGTTTTTCGATTGACTATTTTCCCATGCTTAATTTTTCTTTTTAAAAAAAAAAAAGTGGTAGTGGTAAATCATTATCTGCGATAACTTTGAGTCAATACTAATGATTGAGTTTTATTTTGGTCTATGTTAAGTTTTAGTATTCCTTTTTCTTGGATAGTTCTGCAATCCACTTGAAGATGTCTAAATTTAACTTTTAACTGATAGAGGTAATTATGAGTTACTACCATCTATTTGATTGTAGGTGTTGAGCGCATTAGGTTTTCTTGGATTTACTTTGCAATCCAATTTTATGTAATCGTGCCTAGATTGCTTTAATTGAGTACAAATCTTGTAAAATAATTTGAGGCGTGCCATGCCAAATAAAATTCCAAAGCCCATGGCCCTCATTTGATTAATATTCTGAATCTTTAGAAATCGAGGCGTGCCATTTAGTTGAATTTCCATGGCCCTCGCAAAGTTGAAAGCGCATAGTTGCTTTAGGCGCGCTATTTTAAAAATTACCTTCCTAAACTCGGGTGTGCATTTCATGTGACCCAAATCCAAATCTCAACAATGTTAAATAAAATATGTCTCGAACTGCGGGTGCATTTCATGTGGCGTGGTCCAAAGACATATTTTAGATGACGTTGAAACCTTCTTAAAAATAATTAAAAGCGGTTAATAAGTTGTAATTGAACCGTAGGCTAAAATATGTATTAAAATCAGATAATAGGCCAATTTTGATAGTTTAAGTGACCATGCTAGAACCACGGAATCCGGGGGTGCCTAACACCTTCCCTCGGGTTAACAGAATTCCTTATTCAGAATTTCTGGTTCGCAGACTTCAAAAGGAAAGTCGAAATTTTCCTCGATTTGGGATTCAAAATAAACCGGTGACTTGGGACACAAAAATTGAACTATCCCAAGTGGCGACTCTGACAAATAAATAATCCCATTTCGAATAATGTCACTTTAATTGGAAAAACTCCCCTATATACTATCCTTCGGGGTGGTGTGTAGAAAAGAGGTGCGATAGCTCTGGCGACTCTGCTGGGGAATCAAAACCCAGAACTTCGGTTCAGGGTTAAGAATTCGAGCTTAAAATAGCTGTTATGATTGGCTTTATCTGTTATCTGATTTTCCTACATGTTTGAGCCTAATGTGCTAAATGCTTTACCGTTTTGATATTTTGTGAATTGTATATATAAATTGCTACGAAACCCTTCCCCTGTCTGAGTCTTCTAAATCATGGAGAAGGGTGCACTTCGTGTGACTTCTCTTCTGTTTAGAGTCTTATCCATTTTAGAACGAGGTTCGGACAAGTTGCAAAGCCGGTGAAGCTTCTGTATTCCCGGTACGCTGCCCTCCCCCCTCCCCCCGGCTCGAGTTGTCCGCTCGGGTAAGCCAGGTCTAGAACAATAAACCCATGTTTTAAACCTAGTATAACAAAGTCTCATGTCGGATCCCTAGTAGGAACGTTTGTTTGCATCACGTGCATTTGACTTAGGAGACTCAACACAGGGGTTGGGTCTGTCTAGGACAGGTGTACCTGAAATGAAAAGACCATCCTGATGCATCTTACGTGCTACTTGCATATCTGTCTGTTCGGCTTGCATGTTGACCGGCTTCTAGAATAGGGAAAGAAAATCAAAAAAAAGAAAAAAGAAAGAAAGAAAAACCAAAAGTGAGAGGTAGGTATTTAGAAAATTCTGAAACTCTACCGAAATTTTGAAAAAAAAAAGAGAAAAAAAAAAGAAAAGAAAAATCTTGTTTTCAAACATAGTTGGTTCTATTTTGTCAAATCTGACCGAACTACGTGGGTCTGATTCTCACCGGATGTGAGATACGTAGGCAAACCTCATCGGTTCCGACCCCAATTTTCAAAAAATCCAAAAATATTTTCTTTCAGTTCTTTCTTCAGAAATCTTTCCTTAGAAAATTCAAAAAAAAGAAGTATTTTTTTAACTCAAAAATAGTTTCCTTCTTTCTAATGTCTTTCATGCGAAAAAAGAAAAATCAATAAAAATCAAAATCCAAAAATACGGGTTTTCTTCATTTTGAAGTATTTTTTCAAAAAAAAAAAATTACTCCTTAGATGTCTTTCTTTCATAAATGATAATAAAAAAAAAGATTTTGAAAAAAAATTTTGAAGTCCAAAAAATATTTTTGCTTTTCTTTAGAAGTACTTTTGTAAATAAATAAAAGCTTAGAAATTCAAAATATTTTTCTTAAAAAGGTCCCTCTTTCGAAAATTAAGAGGTTACATCCAAAATCCAAAAATATTTTCTTTCTTCTTTAGAAAAAGAGAAAACGAATGAAAATTCAAACAAAAATATTTTCTTTTGAAAGTCCCAAAGTTCCAATCAAAAGAAAAGGAATTTTTAGAAGTATTTCTTTCAAAAATAAAATCAAAACCAAAATCAAAAATCCAAAAAAAAAAATTTCCCTTTCTTCTTTTAAAACATTTTTTAGAAGATTCCAAAAGAAAAAAAAAATCAAAAAATCAAAAATGTTTTTCGCTTAAAGCTTTTACGGTCTGAGTTTTATAAAAAGTAAAATAAAGAGTTAGTTTATTTACTCCATTCGCGATCTTCCCGAACTACGCAAGATCTGATTCATGCGGTGTCATGATACGTAGGCAATCCCCATCGGATTCGGTCACAGCCATAAAATAAATTGAGTGAAAAATAAACTGAAAAAAAAATTGAGTGAAAAAAGAAAGAAAAAGTGAAAAAAAGAAGAGAGTGACAAAAATGAAAAAAAAAAAGAAAAAAAAGAAAGTGCCAAAATAAAAGAGCGGCAAAAACGAGATGAAAAATCAAGAGTGATTAAAGAGAGGCAAAAAGAGGTACATACTGAAAGGGTTAGTTAAGGCCGGGATGAAACATGCAACTGTGCAAACACATGGTAGAAGCGTTTAACTGTTAGGTGCATTGCATCCCAACGTGCGATTTCCTATATGTTAAATGTCTCAAAAGTAACAAGGTTGTTTGTGTGAGCAAATTAGCCAAGTTTTGTTCAGGTGGTTGGTTTTGTTGGTATGCGGTGATGAACGCGCAACCTTGCACGTGGCCACAACATTATACACTAAATCGAGCTCTACCTCCCAGAAATGCCCTTCCGTACTAAGCTCCATACAATCCCCAATCAAATGTTCCTCAGTACAATCCTCGCCCAAGAGAGTCTTTCAAAAGGAATCAGTTCACCCCTATTGGTGAATCATACTCGGGTTTGTTCCAAAAGCTAGTCAGGCGAGGTTTCCTGCAGCTAGTGGCCCCAAACCAGCTAAATCCCGAGTCCCCTCGCACCGAGCTGATGCTAGATGTGAATACCACTCTGGAGCGGTGGGGCACAATACAGAGGACTGTTGGACCCTCAAAAGGGTAGTTGAAGATTTAATTGAAGCTGGAAGAATCATTTTTCGGGACGAAGAGACTCCTAACATGATGAACAATCCTCTGCCTACTCACACCAATGGGACAGTAGTCGGAATGACTTGTGAAGATAAGAAATTTGATCCGTCACTAAAGGCCATTGAAGCCATGGTCGAAAAAGAAGAAAAGCTGAAAAATAGTCGCAAAGCCTGAAAGTTCCCCGTCAGACGGGAGTCTCGGTAGCCAGTCTTGCTATCCTTTCTGCGTCCGGATTATCTCAGGGTGTGATCCGGATGTTTTACTTTATTGTCTTACTTTCTGATGTAAACCCTTCTATCTTCAAAAATTAAAAAAAAAAACAAAAAAAAATCAAAAAATCAAATGAAATTAATATTTCATTTTCCAAGAATGTCTCTTCTCTTAATCTTGTCATTTTCTCATTCTTCTTTTTAGTTCTGTTAAATGCAGATTTCTATAACATGACATGCTTGAGGACTTCATGCCCAGATTCCAAAATGCTGTCAGACTTCGAAATAATGAATCAAGAGTCGAAGTGCAAAGAAGATAAGTTTGAGGAAATAAAAACAAAGAGTTGGAACAGTTGAAGGAAAATTGGCTCCAATTTAGAAAGGTCCATACATTGCAAGAAGAGTACTGCCAAAAGAGCGCGTTGTACTTGGGATACATCGAAGGAAATGTCCCGGAAACAAATGGCAATGCAAATGCAGTCAAAAGGTACTATGTTGGATCTTCTATATAACATAAATTTTCTCTGGTTGGGATGAAGAAGGCTTTCTTTCTCGCTACCCAAACACTATCAACCCTTGCCAACCCTTTGAGCCGGTTACCTTTCTTTGATTACCCTCTTTGGAACCTCAAGGTGTTATTGAAAAAAAATAAAAATTGAAAAAATGAAATGAAGAATGAAAAAAAAATGATGAAAAAGGAGAAGAAAAAGAAAGATACAAAAAAAAGGAAGAAAAGACAATACATGAAAAAAAATGAAAAAAAAACGAGGAAAAAAGGATAAAGAAAGAGAAAGGAAAACAAAACAAACAGAAGAACAAAAGAAAAATCAAAAACAAAGTTGCCTGAACTACGTTCGACTTGATTTCGAAAGGATACGTAGGCAGCCTCTCTCTGGGGTTCAGTCATAACAAATAAAAATCCAGTTTTCCCCAAAAAGTGAAACTGGGGCCGAAGTTATAATGGTTCGGCGATGATCCCGCCCGAATGGTTCCAAAGTTGTAATGCAGTCTAAATCATTTTACCCAAATCCTTTCAAGTCCTTTTGATCAATCGGCGAGAATGTCCAAGGATCCGAGAATGCAGCTACTTGGATCTGATACAACAAAATGAGAGAAATGAAATGAGAGAGTCTTATTGGTGAAAACCCACACGGGCACCATGAGGCGATGGTAAGCAGAGAAATGAAAAATGAGAGAGTCTTGTTAGTGAAAACTCGCAAAGAGCACTATAAGGCGATGGTGAGAAGAGAAATAAGAGAGGTCAGCTCGTGAAAACTCGCAAAGGGCGCCCCTGATCGAAGAGGATCCTCAC